ACAGCTNGATTCGTTCTTACATTCCTTCGGATCATATCTTTTGTTGGCATTNGACGAAGTTGGTGTCCTNGACGAAAGTCTCGACGAATTTCATTTCAAGAGAACCAANGACGGNAGAGTTCGACCTTACAACGACTTTTTCGGTATCATNAGTCAATTGTGCAAAGAACCCGACTTGTTTTTTATAGTTGTTGGGAAAAGNGAAGGCTTAAATATATANAATTACGTAGCTTCAGTCTCAAGGGTTCAGTTAGTATTTATTCCTCTTTCGCCGCTNGAGAAACANAGTATCATGGAACATTTGGAGAAAAGTTCTTCCTTTTTATTCACTGGGAGCCCAAAGGTTTCAGAAATTCTTTGTCACGAAGACTTCTCAACNAGNGAACTTGCAGAATTGTTGTTGGAATTGACTGGTGGTGTTCCTGGTTTACTTGTTCGAGCAATCAGTTACCTTCTGCTGTANAAATCATCCAACAACAATTTCTCATTATCNAAGGAAACCTTCTTGATCATAATGAANAGCTTTCCAGTAACAAATTATTGTGTTGCGCCATTCTTACCTCGTCTGATAAGTCTCAGNGAGCAGCGNAAGCGCTTGTTAAGAATGCTTACGTTATTATCTTTGTATCGTATTCGATTNGATTTNGANGAAACTGTGCAAATAAGCTCCAATTCNGATGTGTTTTTGTTNGATCTAGTTACAGATATGTGTCTCTATCGTCGATTGGTTATAGAACCAGACCGCAACGAACGCTANGAAGTGTTGATTCCCAAGTTACTGATTGGATACATNGACCAAGGCTTAAAGGANGATCGTTTAGAATGGTTACTTTTACAAACTCTCAAGTCTCAATCTGTNGAATTCTTTTANGAGTCGAAATGTCGAATTTTGGAAGGTCTTATTGCTACACTGTTTTATTTACATTTTTCTCGGCGTCCTACAAACAGCTCAATGTTTTCTACTCTTGGTCAATTGTCTCGTGTTTGGAANGAAATGAATTTACAATTTTCTTCCGAATCTGCTGCTTATTATATGAAATCTATACATTATACCAGAACTGTATCAGGAACAGAGAGAATGACATTTGGAAGCAANGANGAATGGGAAAGGATAGTGGAAGAAATGTTAGAATTNGAAAAGATATATATTCCATTTCATTCAACTTTTCANAGTCCAGATATATTATTCAAGTTGCATGGAAGAACGAANGAGAAGAACTTGATGATTGTGGGTATTGCTTGNAAAGGCCGATGGAGTCGNAATGGTATTCGATGGAANGAAATTTTGGAAGAAGCTCACAAGTTTTTGAAAGCAGTGCANGATCAAGTATTGACNAGTCATCCTACATGGCATTGTATGTTGATTATTATGAGTACTCAGTTAGCAACCAACGTATCNGAGGACTTGAATCATTCNAGTCGTTGTTATTCATCTGGCGANAGTGTTGGAGATTTCTTGATTCCTCACAACTGNGAATTGGTTATTCTTTCNGAAGCNGATGTAGAAAACTTTATTGGCAAAGACTCTTTATCAAATTTAAGGAAGGCTTTCAAGTCTGTGGANAATCCACATTCGAGAAATATTGGCATTTCAACCCTACAAGAAATAGTTTTGTCTCTTTCCAAAAATATATTNAAGAATATCTTGTTTTAATATCTGAGAAATTTTCTAAAACAAATCATTTTCAAAAGTTGTTATAAATCGGAGGCTGTTTTATAAGACACTGTCAAAAACTATATTCAAGTTGACTTGGATAACATATTTATACCATTGTACGGCCACTCTTGTGTAGTATATTTGCCTCCTTGAGAAAGTTCAACTATCAAGTATCCTGTGGCAGGATTCAAGACAGCAAACTGCTCTTGTCCATTGCAAATATCAATTCATCTCCAGCGGAGACTGATTCTTCAACAGTTGTATTTCTTCACAAGTACTTTCTTGAAAACCATGGGAAGCGATCTTTGTAAAATACCCAATTTGAACAGTATATTGTGAGCATCGCAGCACTCCAACTGTTCCAACTTGGCTGCTTGCAGATAGTTACGATCAACCGTAAACTTTGAGATAGCCAACGTACTCTCTTTGCATTCTTTTTTAAGAAAACGGTGCGACTAAAGGTCATTGAAAAGAAAAGCTGATGCTTTCACCGTTGTTTGTCAATTGTTTTAAGCTTGAGACACAAGGCGAGTGTCTATTGTTGACTAGTTAAAACATCTTCTATTATAATCAACCCACTATTGGTCACTTGTAAACTCCTATGTTGCACATACGGTTTCTTTGCCAGTGCTATTCATAATATTGAAGACTGGTCCGATTCAATGAGATGCAGTTCAAGGAAGTAGCTTCCAAACCGGCTTGACAAAGTTTTCAAGCATTGCAATAAAACAAGACAGCTGGATATTCTTCTGCATCCAAAAAGATGAATATATCACACGACGCTGTGTTGCTTTACAAAGGGAAACAGCTGTTCCCGCAACGGGTTCCTATTCCATATCTCAACTTACTATTCAATGTTATTCAGAAATGATATGACGGTTTTTGCAAACACGTTTCAGTTGCTTTGACTCGTTAAAATTGGGTATAGAAAATACTCAGGACTCCATTTCGTCTATTACAAGAGTATGTAAATTAAATATTAAAGGCATTCAATTGTCATCATGGAACTGATGCTTGTATATGAAAACCTGAAAAAGCGTACAGATAATGCTATATTCTGAACGAATCTGTATCAATCAAATAAACTCCAACATACAGCAGAATATTTATTCCACATGACCAAATGAGTCTTTAAGGAATTTCGGAGCAACTAAATGGTGCGGGTATAGCACCTTGTTGTCTCNTTTGAATGATGCCGTCGATAGATGAATAAGTTCCCAAACCCATACTAGCAAACCCAATAATGACAATAGTGAGTAACCAGCAAGTCTTGAAGAAATATTTTCCTTTTTTGACATCCCTCCAATTGGAATGAAGCCAAAGGATACAAGGCAGAATATATGTAAAATTGGATGCAAATAGGGCACCTGCGAGTCCTNTCNAGTTGTTGAAAACTGGAATTNCTTCAGCTGCTNTCCACGGAATAAACCACATGATAGCCAACGACACTNACCAACCCAGCCAGTATTTTNAACCCCTTTTATACACAATACCTTTGAACCTTGGAAAGCGGCGGAAGATATTCTTTGCAGACAAATGAGAATAGTTCNTTGCAGATACCAGCACATTGATAACTTCTNACATATATGCTGTCTTACGCACAGACGAGCTGATAATGTTAAGTATATAAGGACTTTGTGAATAATTTCCAGTATATGCGTAAATTCCTNGACCTNTAATAAGGTAGTTGATAATATTAATGGTGAATCCCCAAAAAACTGCCTTTTTAAAGTCATATGGATTTCCCATTTCTNTTNTCNAATTGAAGAACAGGAGGTGCCCCGAATAAGCAAAAACGATATCCTTTGCAATCATTCCTTAGTTGATATGAAAATATACATAAAATAATACGTACCGAAATAGCTNCAAAGAAATCAACGAGGTTTGTTNTAGCAAAAGCTGAAGCACCCGAGGATGCTCCAATGGATAGGTCAGGTTCTGGAGAGTTCTGTACTGCAACTGCTGTCNAGGTCNTTNTTTCAGGGACTGCTNCAAAGATAATGCAAGATATGGACAAATATGCAACTCCTTTCNATGTTCGAGGAACTGAAATTNAAATACCTATCAATGTCACAACCACG